AAGCAAAGACACAGCAATGGACTTCTTGCTGTACAGACATCTTTACGCTGCCCATGAAGATCACTGCATAGATGGTGTTACTGTGAGTTTTCTTTGCTGTAGTGGGATGTGGAAAAGCGACCAAGGAACTCCATGATAATGGAGTTATGAATGAGCAGTCAGCTTTAACCTAAAAGATCAAGCTGACCTAAACACATACAGAAAAATATTTCACGTTCCAAACCGATGGCTCCTTTACAATAAATAGGAGGTGCTAATTTTGTGATGCAGTGAGCAGAAAGAGCTAGGCAGATCTTACTGATGATTATCAGGATTTACTAAAATATCAGCAGTTCTTTGGAATTTCTGCAGTACTTGTGACCCTCCTAACTAGGGATGGAAGTGCCAGTTAAACACTCTCCTGTATGTGCAATATATTCTAGAAAACAAATGAAAAAGAGTCATCAGACAGCACTCAGGGCAGTGAGTGAAATTCCTGCCGAGATTGTGCGGCTGGCCTAGTTTTATGTTCCTTTGAGGTGTTAGATAGACCATCTGCTAACTCATGACCTGGTTTTATGTTCCTCTAAGGTCTTATATGCCCCATGCACCAGCTTGTTGCATTTCAGATAAGGGTGTCATGGCTCGCTTCTTCCTTACTTTTTTTGCTTCTTGTCTCTTGGGCTGGAATTCAACACTGTTCGAGTAGTATTGCAAGGAGCAGGAGCTTGGGCTGATCCAACAGCACTTAGCGTACAGCCACGGACTGTACAGCGACAGTTGCTGGCTGGCTGGGCAGTACCAGTGCACGCACTGGTAACAGCAGCGCAGTTGCTGTGGGGAGGTGGTGTTCCTCCCCACTTCAGATGAAATGGATTAGAAGTCCTCTGTGACTGTTTGCAGGGTAAGTTTTCAGGTGTGCAGACACACACCCCTTTGCTGTGGGTCTAAATGTGAAGGGTCACTGCCAGCTTTCTCTCATTTCAGTTTTAGGACACCACATACATCCCGTTTCCTTATGCTTCAGTATCTATTTATCTTCCTTTTAACTGTATAAACTTGGTAGCTCTTCAGAGCTCCTTTAGGACATAGCTGCACCAATTCTCTTGAATTTCAAAATCTGTATCCTGTTGATTATCCCATGTTGTGATTCAAAAGACTGACCACAGACCAAGTTGCAACAGTTTAGAGAACTACAGCAATGTTTACTAACATTTGCATTTTCTACATTAAAACTTACTGCAAATATTGTGACAATAATTACCTGTTTTCCAGAAAGATTAGAAACCTACCATAAAGCAGAAAACAAACCTCACAAGCCTGATCCTATGCTTCTGACCTTCTTTTAAAGAAATCAGCCCCCCACCAGCAGGACCTGCACCCCTACTCATTGCTGGCTCAGAACTCCTCCGCATGTATGTGAGGAAGAGTCCTTGAAAGCATCCCAGGACTTGTCTCGCCTCCTTCCCCATCTCAAAGCGGTAGTACAAAAGATTTCACATTCAGAATGACAATGAAGAAGCGTTACTTACACTCCAAGTCAGTTCTGCAGACTATTTTGTACTTCTTGTATTGGCTTTCAGCCTGACTGCTCCCAGTTTTGCTGGTGTCCTGGTGGCTGACCCCCAGGTCCTGCCTCCCCACTGCAGCTGGACACTGGGCTCTGGCAGTGCCAGGCTGTTTTAAATACTCCTGGTCCCTCTGGCCCTGCATTTCCACCTGTTGTGCCTTAAAGGAATAGCATCCAAAAACTGGCAGGTGAGAGCCGGGAAGCCACTGCCCATCCCAGCTCTGCTGTCGCTTCGAGGGTGCGCGCTGTTATTTACCCATGGCTATTGCACAACAGCCGCCCCAAGAGAGGGGCTCCCAGATGGTCCAGGGGATGAAGGAGCCTGGTGGTCGGGTCCATGGTGGGAGCAGGGTACCTTTGAGAGGATTTTCTGCTCAGACAGGACCCGGAGAGCTAGGGCAGCTGCGACGCCTTGGTTTGAAGGTGGGTGCCTACACCCAGCACAAACTCACTGGGGAGCCTTAGGGGTCTGAGTCCAGCTGAGCTCACAAGGGTCCAGCCAGCCCCCTCCTCTTTCTTGGCATTGCAACATCGCCCTTGAGTCGTGACTGCGTTTCCCATCATCCAAGGCAGGAGGGTCCCTTGCTGCAGGGACTGACCTGCTTCGGATCTTACGATACCCCCAACCAACAGAGGATTAGCTTTGTAGAGCAAAACTGGACAAAACCAGGTGGGTTTTTTTAAGCTATTGCACATTTTTTTGGAAACTAATGTCCCTAAGAAGACTGCGGTTGACTGTCCTGATAGAGCAGGTCCATCTCCCTTCCCTGCTCTCTCCAGCCCCTCAGCCTCGTGGGAAGAGCAGGAGTCTGGGTGGGCAAGGGCTGGTCATGTCTGTGCAGACTAAGAACACTGTAAGCTCTTCAGAATTAAAAGTAATTAACAGGAGCTCTGCCGCCGTCTCCAATGTCACTTCTTTGCTCTCCTGTTGTGGGCAGATCAGGGGCCCCAACACAAATTCCCTGTGAAGTGTGGGCTTGTCAGAAATGGCACCATAGGATAGAGTGAAATTAATGAAGACAAAAGTATTTGTTACGTGGGATGAATCATTAACTTGATTTACCTTGTACTAATGATGCAAAAGCAGTAATTTCTTCTCACTAGGGGGTCACACGAAGCTTTTCTCATCCTCTCTCAGTGAAAGCTTGTGAGCTTAAATGAGATGGCAGCTCCAGGCGTTCCTGCCATGCCTGAGAGCAGCGGGATCCTGACCTGGAGTCGGGATGTTCACCAAATTTGTCAGGTCTCAAAGCCAGCCCTGGAAGCACCTTTCCTCTAGCTAAGGGTCTCGAGCTCCTTTCTTCCCACGAATTCACAGTTTTTGTGGTGAGGAAGGAGCCTGCATGGGTGATCTGATGGGGATATTGAACTGAGAGAACAGCCTCCGTCTATCCTAGATGGGAAGAGACCCTGATCCCCTTGCCAGCCGTGTCTTTCCCACCAGTCCCGCTTCTCCGGCTGCGGTTGGCATCGTTTTTTATTCTCGGCCATGGAGTTACGCTTGCTTGGCCACAGTTGGCACAGGTGTGTTTGCCTTCCCGTGCCTCCTGCTCCCGGGCACCTTTCCTTGGGGTGCCAGCACGTCGGCTTCCCATCTCACCTCAATCCTGCACTTTGCAGGGATTTGTGTTTTAAAGAGGCTGGGCCTGCAGAGGGGGTGCAGGAGGAAGGCAGCATGGCTGCAGGCGGAGGAATTCCTGGCAGGAACCAGCCACGGGGACCCGCATATGTGGGTCAGTCCAGGTTGGATGCACAGTTTCTTTAACAAAGCCACTGCCTTCTCCCTTAAGGTTTCTGGTAAAACCGATCCGCTGTCTTATGCAAATATATTTACTTGCCTTAACGGAGGAGGAAGCGTCCTCCTGCCAAGCCACAGGTTCCAAAGCACTTTGGCATCTCCAGAAAACAAACAACCCTGAGCTTGCTTTTTTTTTGGGCCAAAGCGCAGTTTGCAGCACGGCATGTAATCAGTGCACACAAACCAAAGTTACTGCTGGGGTCTGGGCTGCTTTTGGGCTGAAATGATTTGATTTGGAAGCTGTGGGTAGTTCTGCAGGAGAGGTGGAGGAAGAACAGCGTTTGAGAATTTGGGTGTTTTGATAGACTGAAGTCAGATACAGTTTACGAGTTGCAAAATGACCTTGCGGATAAAGATTTTTTAAAAATTATCAGAAAACCCTCATTTTTTTTGCATCGCACCCAGCAAACCTGCCGCCGCAAGGGTCCTTCCTCCCTAAACCCCCTGCCCAGCTTTACCTTTCCCTCTGGGCGCTTTGCCTCTGCAAGAGACAGTCAGGCTTGCACACAAATCACTCGGTTGCAGGTGCATTTTTATTCTCTTGTACAACCCACGTAGCAAGTGGCATTTGGGCAGCCAGCGAGCCTTCGGCTCTCGACACAGGACGCTCGGCTTCTGAGCAGGGCAGCGAGCAACGAGGGGTAGCAGGCGCTTTGCAGTTCATAGCCATGCCTCGACGTCCCATGGGAAACTTCCGAGCTCGCGTACACGGGGGCTTTGAGGCAAGGGGGGTCTGCCGCAAGTCTTCCCGAGTCACTGTGAAAGGTGTATTTTCCCCCCTAGGGTTGCTGTAAGAAAAAACAGAAAACCCACAGGGGAAAAAAAAAAAAAGCTGTGATCCACAATATTTATACAAGTGATTTCATGGGTGTTTCTGGTTTTATGCCAAACTTGGTATTTTAAATAGGTCTGATATTTCAGGGAGCCCTGAGAACAGAAAGCTAGAAAAATCTGGGTTGGAGGGGACTTCTGGAGTCAACCTCCTGCTCAGCTTAAGCGGGGAGTTACCCTGTGCTTTACCCCAGCACAGACACCTAGAAACAAAAGGCACAATTAACAACTTCTGGTATATGTTCTCATTTGCAGAAGTTGTTCACAGAATGTTTATTGTTTATTTTAAAAGTTTGAAGGGGCAGGTGTACTTTTTTCTTTCCGTTCTTTCTATTTCAGATTGCAAGAACCCCTCATGCAGCTTCTTTTTGTAAAGTAAAATCTCAAACAGCAGTAAAACTTGTGGCGTTTTAGTTGCATCACTCTGCAAAATATTCTAGATTTCAACCTAAATGGCCTTGGTTTTAAAGTCACTTATTTCTCTCTGCAACTGTCTGACTTTAAAATATCACCTGCTTGTTTGATCAGAGAGTTTGGACCTACGTGCGCTGTGATGAGGATAAAAAATGCCATCACCACATTTTTTAACCTGCTATTCTACTAAGCTTGATCTTTTGGTTTCTAAAGGAGAAGGGTACATTTCACTGGCACAAATTTCCACAAACTGGATAAGCTTTAAAATATTTGCCCAGATTTTTGTACAAGAGCTTCTCCCTAAAAAGCGTCAGTGCTCCAAGACAGACCCACTGGTTCTGTATTTTGCCAGAAGACATGCTCTTGCACATAAATTGGTCGTCCTAAATCTTCCAAGGATGGCACAGGTTATCCTGCCCAAGCAGGACAAAAAAGAGTGATTGCAACACAGTGAAGCAGAATTGCTTCTGTGTAACATTGCAAGGGGTCATAAGCAATCGGACTTCATTAAAACAAGCAGGAAGAGCGATAACGTGTTTACTATGCGTAAGCAGAAATTATAAACAAGCCCATAATAAATTTATAAACCTCATACTGGATATAACCCAAGCCTTTTGAAATCTAGGGCTCAATGTCTCTTGGTAAGGAATAAAGGCAATAGTTTGGCATCAGAACATAAATCCTGGGCTGCAAACCTAGTTATCCTGTTGAGGTATTTCACATGCTAACCTGCAAACCCTCTGCTTAAAATCTGGTTTTATTCTCTTCTACCAAGGGAGACGACACTCGCAGTGCCAGTTCCAGAAAACACCCAGCTACATTTGCCAGAGTCTGTCCCACGTTCTTGCGCTTTTTCTGGGCTCAGGGTTTCCTCCACTGTTTGCTCTTTTACAGGGTTCAGACCAGCCTGAATCATCACTGCTTCCACATTTCCCACGATGCTTCTTTCTTCTCCTTAAAAACAAAAAATACAGGGGCAATGGAGGGAAGAGCTCCTCTAATGCCTATTTAAATAGACCAGCGTGTCAGAACGGTCACCGGATTAGGCCCATGGTTTCCCAGTTTCATTCTTGTCAATGACATTCCCATTCACTGCTGTCCTGGCTGGAGATGGTTGTCCCTGAATTTATTTCTAGGCATGCGGTATGTTATAGAATAAAATATGTGCACATATTTTTTTGAAAACCAGTTGTTAGCAAGGATTTTTGGGGCCAGTGTTTGGCAGCTTTGCATCGACCGGGTCAGATTCAGCCCTGCAAGGCCACCCGGCATGTAGCCTCTTATGCCACGCAGGTCCCTGCCCTTTATACTTCAGGATTTCCGAGCTCCCACAGAGCCGTAAATCTTCTATACACAAAAACTCAACCTTGCTTTAAAAAATTCCGTTTCCTTCAGTTGCTTTTTGTTTAAGCATATTGAAAAAAAATAAAGCAACTTCTCCAGGACGTTGCTTGCTTGCAGGTACAGTTCCACTTTCCGGCTGCGCTGGCTGCAGAATGGATGTGTGTCTCCAGAAATGGAAATCTTCAGTGAGTCAGACTCCAGCTCTTGGAAATCACAAGCAAAGCCATTGCAAAACAACAACTGCAACCTGAAAGGTGTTGCCTGGCCAACTTACCCGTCTGCTTTTGAAGCTTCATTTTGGTCAGGGCGAGAATAGCGATGGTGATGAAAATCAGTAAAATGAGAGCTGGTAGGATAACCAGGAGCAGGCTTGATTCACCTGATGAGCTGGAAAGATGAACCATGAGAATTTAATTGGATTTTGATTCAGCTATGGGCTGGCTGAAGTACCTTAATGCACACTGCTGGTTTTCAACCAAAGAGTATAAAGGAGTTATAAACTCTGGGTAAATCAAAGAACAGTCAACAAAGTCAAGTAGAGATTAAATAATTTGATCTGGAGCTTGGCTTATGAGGAAGTAATTTCTACAGCTACTTCTGCTCTACCATGTGGGGTTAATAAATGCCAGCCCCTCCAAACGGAAAAAGAGCTATTTTCATCATACAAATTCACGAGCGAGATTCATACTCTTTGTTTGTGAGTTGTTGTAGACTCTCATGCTGTAGGAAGGTGCCTACATGCTGTTTCCTTGCAAAAATGATAAAAATGCTATCAGAGCCGCAGAGGCAGACAGACCTTTGCCAGGAACTGTGCAAAATCGGACCCTTTGTGATCTGTGATTAGTAACATGCTCTCCCTTCCTCTTTCTGGTTGGATGGAGGGAGGCTGGGGATGGAGGGGATGGCGCTTCTCGTGTCACTGGGACAGATGCGAGCTTTGAGGTGCATGGAGGGACAGCTCAGGGTGTTGAACTGGACTTGTGGACTTTGTGGTTTATCTTCAGTTATGATGGACACTGCAATATCTGATGCATCTGCCCTAGCTACGCAAGTCCCTTCACCCGGCGCTGGGTGGTGGCCGTAGCTGGGATGAGAGGGGTGGGAGCTGCTCGCATCCATCCTGTGTGACAGGAAGCACAGAAGGCAAATTCACCAGGGAAACCACTTGCACTGGGGTGAGCTGCAAGGCTTGCTTAGAGAAGTACCATGGAAAAATTACTGGCCAAAATAGCTCGCAGCCTTTTGATGAACCTTGTCCAAAGATAGCTCCTTATGTAACACACAGCACCCAAACACTGCCCTGGTCGCTGGCTGCCCATAAGGACTTGAATAATGCGCATGTGGCAGCTACTGATTCACCAGCGGTATTGCTCAAGCCTAATGTTTCCTAATGTCCTCTCTCCATACTGGGCAAAGGAAAACAGACAGGAGCACATCTATTGACTCTGGCATCTGCTCTCCAGGAGCAACCAGCACCAGAAGATTTAGAGACAAGTTCAAAGATACCTGCCACAGATGGACGTGAGATAACCTTGCCTTCTGCTTTCCCAATGATAAACATCTCCTTTTGGTGTGTCCAAGCTTTGTGGGGCCCAGGGAAATGGGGGAGATGAGTTGTAAAACACTGACGTGGTGCCAACAAGGAACATGGCCGTGAACTTACCTCTGATGATAGATTTCTCTTGGGGAGGTTATGAAGGTGCTGGGGGGGGCAGTGGGCACCAGGGTGCTGGCGCTCTCGGTGACGGTGCCCATCGCATACGTCAGGCCCATGATGCTCCTCTGCGTGGGCGTGCTGTAGGCAGCCAGACTCGATGATAAAGTGGGTTTCACAAGAGTAGATGTTTCTGGGTGTTGCGAAGAGCAGGTTTCTACAGGAAAAATTATTTTGAGGCTTGAATATCCATCTTTTTGCAGAGACATGTTAGATTTACCCAAGTTTTACATATTTTACCTTGCATCTCAGTATGAAAAAATATGCAGCACAGTATGACCAAATCCAAGTATTTCTATATTCCTTTGAGTCTTACAGAAAGCAGCTTGGGAGTACTAATGAAAACCCATTAATACTTGGCAAACATTCAAACTCTAACCCTCTATTTCTGTCTTTTCCAGCTGAACAGTTATATGGATCTGTGTATTTACATGCCGCAGTTTCTAAACCTTCAGAGCAAAGCACGTGTCCCTGTGCTGCACTTGCAAGGATCGGGGTGTCATATGATAGAGGTTTGCATCAAAAAGGATCAGTAATATAATTCAAACAAGCGAAGTTTCTTCTGAAACCTCAGTTTACATCCCTGTCCCTGAAAACCTTTACCATCACCTCGATTACTTGACAATAACTGTAAGGCAAAAGTATAGCTGATGTTTCTTTTTGTTAGATTTATGCATAGCACAAAGGAGAATCCCTTCTCCTCATGCCCATGAAGAGGTAGAGGAAAGACTGATCTAGAAAAAGGGATTTATTGTATTCCAAGCCACTGCACCACCTACCTTTCTGGATGTGCAGCTTCACGGAGGACGTGTGCTCTGTGTGCCCGTTTTTAGCCGCGCACCAATACCATCCTGCGTCCTCCTCTCTCAGGTGGCTCATCACCACCGTGTAAGTCCCGTTTTCCTGGTCGCTGTTGGCTATTTGTATTCGCCCCTTGTAGGACTCGTGCACAAACCCGTCCGCACCCACGAGCAGCGAGCAGCTACCTTCCTTCCACCTGCACAAATACTTCTTCTCGTAGTTCTCCTTGGGATCGTAGTGGCACCTGATGGTTAGCGAGCCTCCAACTGTGCCGCTCAGGAATTTTGGTCTCTTAGGAAGGGTGGAGGCTGCAGGTTGGAGAGGACCGCATTAGCATCTCATTCCTCGCTGTGAGGAACCCACGTGGCACTTGCAGCCCCCATCGTCCCGTCCTACCTGTGGTCACCTGCAGAGCCACCACCCGCAGGCTGTCCCCAGGGCTCAGTCTTCCCGTCCCGCACCCGTACAGCCCTGAGTCTTCCTTTTTTAAGTCATTTATCAAGATTTTGAAAGCTCCAGAGCTTTCCTGAGGGGTGATAAAGATTCGTCCTTGGTAACTCTTATGCTGTCAGCTATGAGAGTGCAGCTGGTTCTCCCCAGTTTGCACCAGAACCTCCTCTCGCTGCCTTGGGTGTTCCTGGGTGGGCACAGGACTGTGACAGAGCCACGGAGCTCCCCCTGGACGAGCTCGACCAGCTCCGACGCAACAGCATCTGTAGGGAGAGAGCACAGCAGGCACCGTCTGGCACGCAGCCCCCAGGCAGGCAGGACAGTATCTCCTCTTGCATTTATGAACAGCTAATTTGGTCAAATCTGGGTACCTTTCTACCTCATCGTTGTAAATATCTGGTTAATAGCACAAGGTGGGAAAAGTCAATAGACCTGCTGTGCGCAGAGAGCGGACAGCGTGAGCTGATGTTCCAGCGTACGGCCCCAAACCGCTCCCTGTGAGCTGGGCTGCCACCGGCACAGAGCCTCCCCTCTCCCCTGCCAGCACCCTACCTGCCAGCACCGTCAGGTTCAGGCTGACGTACAGGTCCCTGTTTGTGGTGCCGATGCCGCATCGGTAGGTCCCTGCGTCACTCTTCTTCAGCTCTGTCATCGTCACTGCGAAGGTGCCGTTCTGGGGGGTGTCCTCGAGAGACACTCGCCCCGCGTGGTCCTTCGAGGTGTAGCCTGTTGTTGAGATGATGGTGTAGCAAACCCCGCTTTCTGCTCTTTTGCACCAATATTTTCGGTCGTGTTTGTTGGCTGGCGTGATTGTGTAGAAGCACTGATGGGTGACTGATCCTCCCACCCTGCCTGTCAGAAATCTGGGTCCGTACAAGGTACTTGAGACTGGCTCTTTTGGGGAAGGAAAGAAACAGAACTAGTTGGTTACTCGGAGACAGCCAGATCCTCGCCTGACAAAATGCAGTGTAGCTTCTTCGAGTCAGGGGAGTGATTATGAGTGGCACCAGTGGGACTTCTGGCCCAGAAAGCTCGGAGTTCATTTTGGATGCAGCATGTTACCTTCCTTGAGTGCCACATAATACACTTGAGGATACCTGGTGGTGCAGAGCCACTGCCCCATGCTACGGCACAACTGGGGAAACCCTCGATGTCCCTTACAAGATGCCCAAAACCCCCATCAGCCCTGACAGAGCTGCCTGGAGTTAAAGGTCAAGGGCAGCAGTTAACAGCAAACATCTAAGCATAACCTTTGGCATTTGCAAACTCTGCCTGATCTGGCAACTTCCTTCTCCCTGAAGTTGCATTGCACAGGCACGAGTGGCTGGCTACGGTGTCGAGCGACTGAGAGCTGGGATTCTCCTTCCCAGCTCCTGCCATGCCTTTGCTAGCTCTCTGCAGGCTTCTAGTGGGCAGGGAAGTTTGACCAGTTGCCATATTGCAGGTGAAGGTGTCTAGTGTCCAAGTGAAGGATTTAGACAGGGCTATACCTGTTTCCCCAATGCCAGCTTTGCCTGGTCTCAGTGTAAGTGGCTGCAGCGTGGTTTCTTGGCAACTCACCTTGCAGCAAAGCTGCTAAGAGAAAGAGAACCTCCATGTCCAGCCTTCACGAATGTTCGCTCGGCAAACTTCAAAAATCTCGCTTTGGATACGAGATTTTGCTGCTGTCTGTGTTATCAAACAGAAGAGAGAGATTGTGGCTGGGATCTGCCAAGGTAAACCACCCAGGCTGCTCTGATGGCTGCTGGGAGCAGAGCACCCACATCCCTCGTGGCTCCCAGCCCGTGACATGGCCTAGCCCCAAGATAAGGGAAATTTTAAAAGAAAGCACAGTGTTAATAGTGCTCTGCAGCCCTGGCATTCTGGCCCTGAATCGTTCCGTGTGTGGGCTCTGAAGGCATCACTGGTAACGACAGCCCACTGGCAGCCGAGGGCCAGGGTCTGCAGGGCACCCCTTAGGGTGCTGCAGCAGAGCCACAGCAGCGCAGCGACCAGGCAGCAGCCCCCGCTGCGGTCTGCCGGGCTGTGCTGCAACCCACACCAGTGTCTGCGGGCACGGGGGCAATCAGGGAGTGCTTCGGTGCTTGCAAACCCAGCACCAGGCAGCCGGCAGCAGCCATGAGACGTGGCACTTTGCTTGGTCCTGCCCTGCCAGCCGCCGGCTGCAGATGGACCAGTAGCATCAAGTAATTTCTTCTTTTTCTTTCCTTTTTTTTTTTTCAGTAGGAAATGCTGCAGGTCTCAGGAGGGCCAACACCCTTAAA